TAGGGCTACCATTTGAAAATACTTTTCTCTTTGTCTTTCTTGAACACATGATTCTAACCTGTCCTGAGCATCCATCGGCCCCATGACAGATAAGAATTCTGTAGAAGGGATTCTAAGAAAGAAAAAAAAGCATTCAATATTTAGCTGCTGATTCAAAATAGCATTTTCAACAAGACAGTAGCCTTACAAGCCAAGCTATTGTCTTAAAATGTTCTAAATTCCTTTATCTCTCAGTTTTAGCACATTAAGAACCATGTCTAGAGGACTCAGCTCATAGAGAAGAAATGGCCCTTAGGTCCGTGCTGTGGGCCAGGGAGACTTGCTGTTCTGTGGTTGATGGATTATATGACATAGGAAAATATAAAGGAAAGCATACCCTTTCTGGCCCAGGGGATTTGGGGATGAAGGAGAAGAGACAGATAGAAGGGTCAGGGAACCAGAGATGCATCCAGGAAGCGCCATGTGGCATTTTGCTTAGGTATCCTTCCAGGGCTTTGGAGGGAGCTGGACAGCCTACCTCTGACCACCACCCTAGTTTCAACATCTGGAAGGAAGTGGAGGTTTCTCTGAGAAGAGGTAACTGAGAAGAGACACAGGACCTGTGGAAGCTTCCCAAAGCCTTCCACCTGCTTGATCCCAGGGCCCCTATCTCCCCAAGGCCACAGGGTCACAGCAACCCCCCCCCCCATTTACTCAGTGAGAAGAGCAGAGGAGATGGAGACTTTCTGAGAAACTGAGCATTTTTATGCAAAAGAGACTGAGAATTCTCTAGAGGGACTGTTTATTACATCAGACTAGGTTGTAATCCAGAACAGATTAAAATAAAGTTGTCATTCTCCCATTACCCAGGGGTTGGTGCTCGTAAGGAAGACAAAAGCAGTTAAAAACCAAACAAGGTACAGCTTCAGTGTGCATCCCGGGAACACCTGGCTTGCACATGCGTGTGTGCCTTGGGAAAGTCTAAGACTCAATTTCTTTATCTCTTAAATGGGTATGAATAATAATTCCCATCTCAATAGCTTCACTGTGTGTTTAAATGATAGGTTGTGTAAACATCCCCAGTCTATTTCAGACATTCACTTACTGTAATTCTTGCTGGTGCTGGATCAGAGCCATGTGAGAGGCACAGCGGGACGGAGGGTCCTTGGCCCGGGGCCAGCTCCCAATAGCCATGATTGTCTTCTCCCTGGGAGAATTGAACAGATGCCCGTCCAGGCTGCAGCTGGTGGTCAGAGGTGGCCCCCTGTTCTTACCTCTCTGCAAGTTTCACGTGCCAGAGAGAAAACACACGTGAGGAGCTGAGGGTACAGGACCCTGGACCCACAGAGCTGCTCCTGTCCTTTCAAAGAGCACCTTTGACATCCGTTCTGCTCTACGTGAGTTCTGAGCCCCAAAGAGTCTGTGTGGTGCTTGCGGAGACCCCTGTTGCACAAAGCATGCCAGCAAAGCAGGGTTGAGCCGTGCTTGCAAGAGCTGGTTGGAGGCTGAGCTAGATCTTGGCTCCCGGGTCCTCATTCAGCCTCCATGCCCTGGTAAGAGTATATTATTTTCTTAGCTCAAATTGCCGTTTCCAAGTCATTATTTCTCTACGACGAGAAAACAATATTGGTTCTTATGTAATATCAACCTCAATGAATCTGGAAGTGATCATGGAATGGGTGGATTTTTTTTTCCTCCTTAAAAAGGAGAAAAATAAATTTGAGATTGTTTGCATATGGCTGAGAATATTTATGAACTATTCCCCTTGTTTCCTCGTCACATATTTTACCCAGTGCATTTGCGGGTGGTAGCGAATAAATCTTTACGGGAAGGGCGGGTGGAGAGGGGCAGACAGCAGTTAAAGGATGGGGGACCTGTCAAGTGCCTGGGCCTCCACTGGTCCCGGGTCTCAGGGTCCCCTGGCCTCAGGCTTGCTGTGGTCTGAGGGTTACCCTATCCTGCTACTCAGAGGAGGGTTTCAAATGGGAACACTGACGGGATTAACATCTCCTTGTCACTCTGGTTTCTTTCATAATCCCCCTCCCTCTTATCTGAGCAGGAAGTTCACCAGCGGTTTTCTGACCTGGGGGCCGTGGGCCAAAAGAGATAATTAAATTCTATGGATGCCAGATCGAGCCAGGGTCAGAGGAATAAGTTGGCAGGTAGGAGGGAAAAGAACTGGCAGAAGCTGTATCAGTGCCGGTATCTGTTAGTCGAGAAGAATGGCTGTGTGTTAGCACAGACGTGTCGTGTCTGTTTCCCCCCGGCCATGTCGCTCACACAGCGCATCACCAAGAAGGATCCCGACGGAGCGTCCGGGACAGGGCTGTGGCTGTACGTGATTACATCAGGATGGGACGCAAAGCTCTGGGCTGTTGGTTGTCATCTCTGGGGCCTGGGCCTCGGAACTGGAGCTTCTGAGAATCTCTCAGTCTCTGCCGCACCTTGGAGTTTTTAGGAATATAACTGATGGAGAGTGTGGGGTCAGGGACAGAGAGCAGATAGCTGTCACATTTGGTCCTGCACTAGCAAGAGCAAATCATAGAGATGTCCTAGCACGGGGCAGGCATTGTATGAGGCACTTTTCCCTGCATAATCCGAGTCAGGCCTTAGGAAGATTGGGGATCTTCATCTCACAGTTGAGATGAGAAAACTGAAACTCGGCGACATCGAGGAGCTTGCCCAAGGTCACACTTGGTCGTGAGTTCCAGGATCAGAGACGTTCCCAAGATTTGTGGGGTCTGAAGCCAATAGAATAAATACAAATAAGGAATTTAAAAAAAAATCAAGTTCAAGGCTTTGGAAGGGGCCATGGGATGAAGGGAGCCGAAGCTCAAACTTGAGCAGCGTCATAATAAATCCACCCTGGGCAGGGTTGAAATTTAAACACAGGCTTAGCTCCAGGCCACGCAGCCCCTCCCCTGCTGCCTCGCCTCCTCTTCTCTCTACCATGATTACCACCAACTGCGCCCTTCACATTCCTGATCAAAAATACACAGACTCGAGCAATGACATTGACCGGCGGAGGACATCCTCAGCACACGCCCCCTCGGGATGTCACATAGATGTCACAGCTATGGCATGAGGTGACAGCCATGCCCACTGCCACACTTAATCCTTCCACCTCAAGAGCTCATGGAGACATAGTTGAGATGTATCCAGAATTGTCCTCCCAAGGAGCTCCAGTTGCTCTTCTAGGCCTCTTTTACCAAATGCCATGATCATTCCCACACTGGGGGACTTGGGCACAGACTCCTGCAATGGCCTGCTCAGGTCTCCAGCGGGCATTTTGGAATTACAGTCTGCAACATTTCATTTCCTTTCATCCATCTCTGTCGCTTGGATTGATACCCGTTGGGCCGATTTCAGCAGACACTCTATTTGATTTTTCCTTTCTCCCTTAGAATCAAGATTTTGTCATAATCGCCATAACTGAAAGGGGTGGAGGGCTTTAAGGAAGCAAACAAACCCAATATAGATCACAAGTGCTTCGGCCGGGGTGGGGGTGGGGCCCATAAAGACTATTGTTCGGTCCCCACCCTCTGCTATTGTCCTTGCATAGGCTTGCAATCCCATCCTAGTCTAGACAATTACTAAGGGGAGTACAAGCATTTTTTCCCAGCCCTGCTCACTTTATTCTCCCAAACTGGAAACACAAAGCAGATGATGAAGTACAAGTTCAAATGCCACACCAGGGAGAAGGAAGTATTGAGAAACTACGTCCAACCTCCAGCCTGTTTTCAAACATTCCAGTAAGTGTTCAATTGATTTATCTTGGGCTGGTGGTGTTTCATTGTCTCAAACAAAGGCCTCCTATGAAAAGACAAACTTGGGTTATGGAGGAGTGGCTAACAGAAGGCACATTTGGAAAAAAGTAAGTAAGAGTCCCCGTCCTCTGGGCTCTTCCCCCAGGGGCAGCATCCCTCCTTCATCTGCCAGAATTAACATCAGGACTGATTCCCGTTACCTCAGCATCACCCTCTACACCGGAGTCTGGGAAAAAACAGCCTTGGGGACGGGGTGATGACATAGGTGCAGTGGCTGGGGGCCCAGTCAGCCATCTCCTGCACCCCTGTCCTCGGAGCTCGGGTGGCCAGCGTTCTGTGCCTGGAACTGACTGTGAGACTCTCGATGGATTGGTTCCGAGTGACAGTGGCTTCAGGCTGTTGCTCTTTTGAATATTTTGTTCTCCTCTTGTGTCTAAATCAATTACTGGATAGGAAATTATTGGGGCAAGACTGAAAGTCTTCTGCCACACTGTCATCCTTTGGATGTTCATTCTCTGAGGTGTGTCCTTGACAGGTTTCCATGCAGCTGTGTCTGGTGGAGCCCTCTGCCTAGTGCACCGGCCCTTCCATTCTGGACATCTCTGATTTTTAGAACAACCTTCTCTAGATTAAACTGAAGTATTGCCCTTCTGGTATCCATTGGTCCTGTAGGGGCAACACCAAGCAGGGTGGCTTACTTTCCTCTGTCGTGTCTTCCTGGAAGCCTTGTCCCCCCCACCCCCCTTCTCAGGTTGGCTTAGCTGGTGCCTCCTTAGTTAATGCTTCCACAAAGTCTGACGCGTATCTCTGTCCTAGACTTTCTAAGCAGTTGTTTACTTAGTGAATAGCCCTTTCTTTCTACAAAATTCTTATGCGGGTTAATTGTGGAATATTGGAAAAATATAGAGAAGCAAAACAGGAAATGAAAGTTGACTATTATTACTGTATCTACTGGAGATGAGCACTTCAAAAACTTTGATATATATCCTAATGGTTGCATTTGTATATTTATGTTTTTTTTTTAAAGGATTAACCAGTGTTTATTGTTTGGTTAAGGTTTGCTTTTTCAGACCACGTAACACTCTTCTGCTGCGTTGTATTAATGGCTTGCAGGTATTCTGTAGTGTGTGGGAGCTGACGGTGTGACGGGAGGGGCACAGAATTCAGGATAGGCTCCTTTACTCTGAAGACCCCTGGTTGTTTCCAGTGGCAGGAAGGCTGACTGAAGATTTTTCTTCTGCTGTTTCATGCCAGCCCTTGAGAGAGGCCTGACCAGGGCACTGAAGAAACTGGATGACTACCTGAACAACCCTCTCCCAGAGGAGATCGATGCCAACACTTGCGGGGATGAAGACAAGAGGTCCCGGCGCAAATTCTTAGATGGGGACGAGCTGACCCTGGCCGACTGCAATCTGTTGCCCAAACTCCATGTGGTCAAGGTAAGACAGCTCTACCTGCAGGTCGCTTGCCTTATCCAACTCCATCATAGGCCCCTGTCACCTGCGTGGATGAGTCAAGGACAGTGCCACCTGCTGGTCCAGAGCCTGGGCTCTGAAGTCACAGGAATATGAACCCCAAATCAGCCTCCACTGCTTGCTGGCTGTATAGACTCTCTGAGCTTCAGTAAAACAGGCATATATTACTTACTTCTTATTCTTATTTTTACTTCTTGGCTGGGAGAGTAAATATGGAGCAACAGTGCCTGGCATATTATAAAGGCTCAATACATAGTAGCTGCTATTGTTATAATATGTGTGGTTATACATACATATATATGTATATGCATACATTTATACATATATATATATAAAGAGAGAGAGAGCTTCTTCCTTGCCTCTGCCTCCCAGGTTTTCACTGGCCACACCCCCGCGTCTCTATGAAGTTGCTTCATATGCAAGCCTTCTCATTCGCTCCAGTAACTCCCTAGGACAGGTGTGTATCCTCTTCCTCATCTATCAGCTCAAGGGCTGGAGGCTGTAAGAAGTGACATCATTTTCTTGCCACGGTTGTCCTACACTGATCAAATGCAGTGTAATCCTGTCCTATAAGAATTCTAGGATCCGAGAGTTGGAAAGAAGGGAATTCCAAGGTCATCCCAAACTGTCTCCCACCCCCCACTGGACCACTTTCCGCGTGTCTGTGACAGGCTTCCATGCAGCTGTCGCCTCACACTTCTGATGATGAAGAGCTCCCTGCCTAACGAGTCAGCCCTATCATTTTGGATGACTCTGACAATTAAAACATCTTTCCTTTTTTTTTTTTTTTTTAAAAAAAAGGGGGATGGGCAGAGGGAGAGAGAGAATCTCAAGCAGGCTCCACGCCCAGCACACAGCTTGATGTGGGGCTCCATCTTACATCTTACAACCTGGAGGTCATGACCTGAGCCGAACTCAAGAGTCGGATGCTTAACCGACTGAGCCACACACACACCCCTAAAAACATCCTATGTTGAGCACAAACAGCCTCCCCGCTCCCCTTTGTTCTCTGGAGCAGCATGGATCAGGGCTGCTCTGTTTCACCTTCTTTGAAGACGATAGTTGTGTGCCCTGATGTTTGTTCTCTAAACTAATGCTTCTTCTCACATCCTTTCCCGGCCTTCACCAGCCGAGCGAAACACACAGTGGGACCATACCGCTAGACTCTTCTCTACTTTTATACACATTTATATCATATGTCTCAGTCAGACAATAGGCTCTATCGGGAGAGTGGCTTCTCCAAGCACGATGGTGGGTACATGGTGGCCCTTTCATAAATACTCATTGATTGACCATTTGATCACCTCGCTTGTGTCTTTATCATACCATTTTCCTTCTGCCCTTCACTAAGAAGAATCAGATTCAATCATTTATCAGCTGGATAGCTGCCTATCGTTTTCCAGCTGAAGTCCTGAGCTAGAGATGTGGGCTTCCCTCCAGTCAGAGCACAACCAGCTTGAACTGAAATCTGAGCTGTGCAAGCACTGGCGTTCCCACAGGACTTGGTCCAAGCTGGGGACTGGGCCGGAATCACGTGTGCCGTTCCTGATGGGCCGGGAAAGTGCAATCTATTAATATGAAGACGCTTTGGGTTCGGGGCCAAGCCAATGGTTACTTGTAAGTGCAGCCAAGCTCCATGTCTTTTAAGTTCTTAATGACCGCATGCCCCACCACACCCACGGAAACATCTTTTATTCTCTTTTCCTGAGGAACAGGTGGCACCATTAGGGATGGTATGATTCTAGTTCAGTCCCAGTGTGTCCGCGTGATGTAATGGAAAGACACCCCATTCAGAAAGTCACGCGACCCACATCCTAGTCCTACTAACAGCATGAGCTGGGGAAAGTCACTGAATCTTTCTGGAATTCATTTTTCTCATGCCTAAATGAAGAGATTATGAAGTATATTCCTTCTTGCCTCTTTCTTCTCTCTTCCTTTACTCCTTCCTTCTTCTGTCATACTCAAACATGTACTGACTACCTGCTCAAGAATTTCCTGTTGAATAAGGTAAACAAATGGATCCCCCAAGGCCCTGTGCTTCATCTTCTGACTCCTCCCGTTCCTCCCAGCCCTAAAGGATGATGCTCCGCCCGTGTCCTTGGATGGAGTTCAGTGAGCTGTTCACTTGGAGAAGCTGGGGATCAGAGGGAGGACGGGCTTCGAGGGGACAAAGGCTGGGCCTCGCCTTCTGTCTCCTTGGATTTCTGCTGATCCAGCTTATCAGATCCCAGAGACCTGGCAAAGCCCCGTCCTGCAGAAAGAGTGAAGGGGGAGCCAAGTCAGGCCTCCAGTTTGGCTCCTGATGCCAAAACCTAATCTGGGCTGTGGGAGCTAACTGTTTTCATATGAAAGAGCAAATTCAGACCATGAGCATGGAAGTTCCTGTGAACGTCAGAGCTCCGTGTGCACATCCTCGCCCGCGCTCTCTCGCGCTCTCTCCCTCTCTTACCTGGCTCTCGTTCAGGTTCATCTTCATTCTCCCTGAGAGCCTGGTTTGAACTCTTGCTGTCTGGCTCCCTTCTAGTCCTCATCCTCAAGGCAAGCCAACATGTGAGGAAAGAACCAGCGATGTGGCCAAGGCTCAGGGCGTGCAGGTCCGGGCAGGGAAGGGCATGGTGGGCCTTCTGGAGCAGCCCCTGGGACCCCTGCCTAGCACGGTGACCTGCTTCAGCCCCTGAAGCAAACAGCAAAGGAGACATAAGCTCAAGTATATATCCATAAGCCGCCCTTCTGCTGTCTTAAATCTCATAGCGCATCCTTTAAAAATGAAAACAAATCCCAGCATGGAGAGACTTGAGGCCACTCCATCTGTCAGTTTGTGACCCGTCCCTCCTGCCTGGTCTTGCTCCTTAGCCAGGACAGCTGCTTCTCAAGGGCTCCTGGGAAAACCCAGGGGACCCTCACCCTGCAGTGAACAGGGGGAGGTCAAGGAGAACTGGCAATGGGTGTTGGCCCCAGCATTTGCTTGTGGCAAGTGCTCTGCCAGGGGACTCAGTTACCATCCCCTTTGCTTCTTAGTTGCACCTAAGCTGGACATAGCATTGTGGGGATGTGGCTTCCTTGGTGACTACCCCAAACCAGTTCTCTTAACCAACAGAATTTAATAGAAAGAAGCAGTAAGTACTAAAGTACCAGGAAGGCAAAGTGTACCACGAGGTTCTACCTTAATAGGGCGGCCACGACCCCCTAGGGCAGGGGAGGCCAACGGAAGAGGTCGGAAGGATCTAAAACTTGGCAACTTAGATGAGGGGCCCCTGCAGAGCCCAACCTTGGACCTGCGAGGTGGGGCATGCTGAGCTGCCGCTGGGGGCTGAGTTCAGGGCACGGCCCAGGGGGCTGGCCCCCAACCCCTGCAGGGGGTCACTACTGTGTGCTGGCCTCTCTCAGCCAGGGTGAAGACCTAGTTCCACCAGTGGTGGCAAAACAAGAAAACTGGACTCAGCTGCTGCTGCTGGAGCAAAGGAGAGTCTGACAGGCAGGGGATGTGGATGTCCGCTGCAGAAAGGGGCGGCCCCTCTCCCTCCTCCAGCCTTGCAGACCCTCTCTAGTGCCCCCTCTTGGAAGAGCCTAACAGGGAGTCCCTGGCAGAACAGATGTGATTTGCAGAGTTCCCACCCATGCGTCCCAGCGCCCCCAGCATCCCAAAGAAACAAACACCAGGGTGGTTTGGAGATAAGCAGCAATAGCAGGATAACTGGCACACAAGGGATTCTGAGTACAGCCCTACCTTTCTCGTTTGCAGACAGCTGGGTGGCCACGTGGAGAGGAGGGAAGGACTGTCATAGGAATACTGGGCCCAGCAGAAGGAATAGAGTCAATGATACTGTAATAGCATCCTATGGTGACGGATGGGAGCTTCCCTGCTGGTGCACACAGCAGAGCATATAGACTTGTCCAATCACTGTGTTGTGCACCTGAAACTAATGCGACACTGTGTGTCAACTATACCCGAATAAAAAAAGAAAAGCAAGGACTATAATAAACATGAGTGATTACTCAAAAGATACTGGTTGAATTAATTTCCTATGTCACATGGTGTAACCTATTTACGCTCTTGTGGCTTCAGTCTGCTCATTGCTAAGGATCTGCAGTCTCTAAAATTAAGTGAGTTTCTTCCATTTGACTCTAGATGCACTTTGATTTAGGATACCTGAAGATAGTAAAGATGCAATACAGCTGTTTATTGAATCCTTACTTATTTAACTTCTCTTTGCCTTACTTCCGTCATCTGTAAAATGGGAACATAATACACTCTTCCTTATAGAGTTACTTAGAGGTTTAAGAGGCTTGCACAGTGCTTAAAACAGCCTGGAGCAGAGCACATAGTAAATAAACGCTTGTTAGTGTCACTACGCTTATAAACAGTGTTACTGAGGGGCACCTGGGTGGCTCAGTCGGTTAAACATCTGCCTTCGGCTCAGGTCATGATCCCAGGGTCCTGGAATTGAGCCCCCCATTGTCTTTGGGGCTCCCTGCTCAGCAGGAAGCCTGCTCTTCCCTCCCTCTGCTACCCACCCCCGCTTGTACTTTCTCTCTCTTTCTCTCTCTCAAATAAATAAAATCTTAAAAAAATAAAAAAAATCCTAGTGTTATTATCAGGCAGTATAAGAATGAAGCTGGGGTTCCTGTCCTTCTGCTTACACTGCTCACAAGCTAGGGAAGAGAGAGAGGATACTAAAACAGTAACTGCAATTCAGAATAGAATAGAGCTTATTATTGTAACACAACTTCCAAACTGATGCAGGAGAACGGAGGAGGAAACTGCATGCTCCTTGGGAATGTGGTCAAACCCATGAGGCTGAGCTTTTCATGTAATAGGTCATCATTGCGTTCACTCAGCATAGCTTTCCAGGGAACCCTGAACATCACTGGCACCAAAATGAAAATGAAAGCCCAGAGTAGCTGAACTCAGGGGTTCTCTGAGTGGGAGGATCCCAGGGCCAGCAGTCTGAAGACCTCTCTAAAAAGAAAGCAAGGAAAAGAGTCAGAAGTCAGTGGCTTAGGAGAAAGGCTACTCTTTGCTATTCCCACCCCGGCCCCAGAGGGCTAGAAGCAAGACCAGCTAATGCGCAGACCCCAGCGTACAGTGACAATAAGTGGCCCCTGTTAAAAAGTACTCAGAATTTCCAGATGGTGACAGCAGAGCATTGAACCAAAAGCAAGCCCTTCTGAGTTTGAGGCCCCATGTAACTACACAGGTCACCCTCTCTGCATGCAAATGGGCAGAAGATGGGTCTCAGTGAATTATAATAGGAGATAATGTTTCTTGAGCACTCAGTATGAGCCAGCCACCCCTCTAAGCATTTTATGTGTATAACTAATCTGTTACTCCAAGGTAAGTCCTATTATTACCTTCATTTTAGAGATAAATTGGGGTTCAGGGAGGCTAAGTAACTAGTCCAAGGTCACACAGCTGTTAGGTAGTGGAGTAAAATTGCAGATCCAGTCAGTGGGGATCCAGAGTCCATGTTCTTAACCACGATGCTACTGTTTCAACACAAACAGCACCTCCCCAGAACGCCCATCCGCAGCCCCCACATGTGGCAAACTAGAAGAGACTAGAAATTATGATTTGTTCACTCCCACATCATACATTGAACCTGCATGTACAGTCCAACATCTAACTTACTTTTTATGCTTTTTGTTCTCTCCTATAAATAAGGGTGTTTATGTAAAAAAAAGTGGATGGCGGGAAAAATTTATAATTCTATCAGTCAGACATAACCACTGGTAACATATTGGTATATGTACTTCTAGTCACCTCACATATTTCTCCAAATTGCATTATACTGCACTTTAAAAAATTCTTTCTTTATTAATTTTTTTGCACTGCACTTGAAACTTAGCAATCTTTTTTTTTTTTAAAGATTTTATTTATTTATTTGAGATAGAGAGAAAGAGCAAGAGAGAGAGCATGAGCCGGGGGCAGAGGGAGAAACAGACTCTCCACTGAGTGGGGAGCCCGATGTGGGGCTCAATCCCAGGACCCTGGGATCATGACCTGAGCCGAAGGCAGACGCTTAACCAACTGAGCCACCCAGGCACCCACTTAATGATCTAAAAGAGTTTTCCAGATGCCTGGAACTTCTTCTGCAGCATCATTTCTAAAGGCTCTCCAGGATGGCATTGTATTTACCTATGATAATGCATTTATCCACGTACCTATGGCAGGACATTTCTTTCCTCTGCCATTTTTTCACTATTGCATTTTTTACTATTCGTCCCGTGATCGCAGGTAGGTAGCTCAATCTTTGTGATCATTTCCTAAGGAAAATTCCCCGAAGCAGAATGCCTAGGTCAAAGGGCAAATTATATTGACTTACAAAATAAATAAGATCAGAGAAGATGGAAAGAAGGCAGCACCCCCACCTTGCGTGACAAACATTTTTGCTGCGGGCGGGCTCGCGGTGAGTGATGCTCGCGTGCACCCGGGTCCCCCGCCCCTCCTCACCGCACGCACGCCGGGTCCGGCACTAACTCCGTCCCACTGGTTTGTCTCGTGCATTCACGCCCTTTTCTGTCCTGCCGTCTGTGTTGTAGATTGTGGCCAAGAAGTACCGCAACTACGATTTCCCGGCCGAGATGACGGGCCTGTGGCGGTACCTGAAGAACGCCTACGCGCGGGATGAGTTCACCAACACCTGTGCGGCAGACCAGGAGATCGAGTCGGCCTACGCCGATGTGGCCAAGCGCCTCAGCCGGTCCTGAGCTCAGCCGCCTTGCCCCACCCCTGGCAGCAGAAGGACTTGGCTTCTCCCAAAGGAACTCGGGCCTCGCAGACCCCCCTTCCGCGCCGCGTCGGGAAACAGCGTTTGGTTGCCCTCCACATCTCGCTGGCCTCGTGGGACACCAGCCTGCTGCCTCTTAGGAAGGTCCCAGCCGACCCCATCTGATCACGCGGGCATCTGCAAGCAGAAATGGTAGAAACACGCAAGCGCTCAGCCTTTGGAGCCCACCTAGGGGACTGTCCCCAGCCCCGCCGCCAATCAGAATCGCTGCCCAGCTGCATTAGGAACATGCAACACCGTGTCCCCCCCCCGTCCTCTTTGTTGGTAACTCCACGGCCGAGGACAGATGCCATCGTAGTTCTTGCTAGAAAGAGAGCCACCGCGTTGGGGGGAGACAGAGTGAATGGAGGGCCGGCAGGCTGTGGATTGGGCCACTGGCACATACACCTTCAGTCCCCGTCTGCTTTCTGACGCTCCGGTCACACGGGGCACTGAAGACCAGACGGGAGCACCACTTCAGACAGTCTCTGTTGGCTGCAATGCTGAGACGGTCGCCATGCTTTTGTGTATCTGGCTGACAGGAGCCTCTGGTTCTTGGCTGTCCAGGCCTTTTGAGGAAGGGACATTGGCATGCAGTCGCAGACTGGGGTGACTGCAAAGGGGAGGGGGAGCAGTGTCGATGCCAAAAGGCCCACGGGGTCTACCAGCCATGGGGTTTGCTTGCTTAGGGGTAGTTTTGTTGGAGATGCCATGCCTGGGTTTGACTGATCCACGAGTCAATTTCGGTCTGTGAGAAAGCAGATGGGGGGGGTGGGGTGGGGGTGACGATAGAGAAGTTCTTTATGAGGCTCGATGTTCCCTGGGAATCCTTCACACAGGTCTTCTCTCTCATGATCTAAGTCTTGAACTGCTGATGGCATGTCACTACCAACCAAGAATTGGCCAAAACTGACTTCCCAGTCTCTTCAAGTGGTTCCCCAATGTGGGTCTGCCAGCCGGATGTGACTCCTGGCTGAGTTGGCTGCAATCTCTGACGGGTGAGAGATGGCATGATCATGGAACACCTTAGGAAGAAAGTCCATGGGCTTTTCTGACCGGGAAACCATGTGGTTTGACCTTGAGGAAAAGTAGATGCCCCATCTGGGTTAATTTTCCTGCCATCTGACTCACCTGCCAGATGAGAAAGGAACGGGTTTTAGTCAGTATTTCACTCCTCAGTCGTTCTCCTTGAGTTTCACCTCCTTCAAAGCTCACCCGGCTCAAGCCTGGGGACCTGTGCAGAGGAAACTAAGAAAAACGAGCTAATCATCAGCCCTCTGTCCTAGTGATGCGCTGTGAGAAAAGCCACCTGCCATAGACGGTCACCTTCAGCAGTCCTCCCATCCAGGCTGCCTGCGGGTAGAGTGAGGTCCCGAGTGCCAGAAAGCCCCGGGACCTGGCTCATTGCTCAGGAAGCTCAGGGCAGCACGGTCCTTTCCATAGAAACATCCGCATATCCTCACCCCGGCCACCCCCAGACCGGCCTGCCTCCTGGGATCTCTGAAGAAATCACGTTGGCCCGCTGATCTGAGCAGAAGGGAGGAAACAGGAGCCCCTTGAGCCCACTGAGGAAGAGGAAATTTCTCAGTAGGACGTTTTATTAGCCTGAGAGCTTTGCAAGGGCAAGGAGGCATTGATTCATTCCCACCCCTAAAGGAACCTTCCCAGGGACTCCCTGGGAACTTAGTCCCGAGACATGTTTAGAAAGGAGCATGGGGTGGGGGGGGAACAGTTCTTGTGACTATAGGGGTAAGCCCTGACCTGGCCTCGGGAGATGAAGTCTTGAATGATCCCAGAGGACTATTAGTGTAAATCCTGTTGTCCTCAGAAACCCTTCCCTGAGTTTAGCAACACAGGCACGATGACCTAAGAAGCAGTTTACTTTCCAGAGACCCACAGTGGTCTAGAAGCAAGTCGATGTAGCAAAGGGAGCGGGACAAAGAAAACAGGCCCCAGGTGGCACAGCTCCTGGCTAGGGGTTGTCTGATCCTAATGACTGATTTGAGAGTCAGAATTCAGCCATTGGCGAGTCTTTAAAAACAAAGAAGCCAAACCAAATCAATATTGTTGTTTCTAGATGGTCCTTCTGTGGTTGACTTAGTTTTACATAAATAATAATATTAAGGCACCAGTGGGGGGTGGGGGGGGCCGTTACATGATCAGTTATAACCATTGAAAACAGGATGGAGTTTAGAGATGGAAAGCACTTCTGAGTAATTCAGGAATATCTTTTTATTTCAATAGTGGATTATTATATAATATAACTGAGTCTTGACTAAGAGCTTTAATGTCTTACGACCAGATTTAGCAGAATATTTTAAAATAACAATAATATTACCTTCTGATTATTTTTTCCAAGAGAGATTTTTCTCCAGGTCCTTCAGCCTCCCTGGGCTTTGGCCACAACCCTGTCACATACACAGCAAATCATCTTCAAGCATCGGTATGATGAGGTCCTTAGGTGTCTCCAGAACCCACTCAGGGAGTGCTGAAGGTTTGCAGTTTGAACTCCAGAGTTATAAGACAGGAGGTCACCCTATCATTGGTCTTGAATGAGTATTGATCCCTCAAAAAGCATTTCAGTGGCATTAGAAAGAGTTTGGGTTGAGATCCTATTTTATTTCGGATTTATTTTTCCCCTTTGACTTTCATGTCCTATTTTATTTTTGTGGGATAGCATAGTGGGAGGCAGAGTCAGAAAGAAGAATCAAACTCAGAATAACAGTGTTGAATTTACCCATCTATCCAGATTGGGCCACCTCTCAGGTTGGCCCAGAAAGAAGGTATTGGGTAAGATTTTAATAACCTTATATGATGAGCTGGGTAATAAAAGCTTGAGTGTTCTAGACTAGCATGGTGCCTTCTATTGTGTGTCTTTATGTCCTGATAAAGGAAGTCAAATGCCTGACAGCTCAGAATCACACGCTACGAAAAGCAAAACACACTTTTATTTGACCACACAATCTCAGACTGGTTCCAGCTTCCCAGGAAATGCCAGTCTCCGGTGTTCACATCTGCTGGGGGGGGGGGGGGGGCAGCAACGATCTTGGTCTTTTCATTAGAAAAAGCCTTCACCACGAGGGAAGTTTCCTAAGCTGCATTTTCCAGCATTTGTTGAATGAAACCATAGAAGCTCTTCGCAGCACCTCTGCCCACTGGCCATTCTGCACAAAGACAACACCAAGCATCTTTGAATTGTTACAGGATGGATCCTGAAGGTCTAAGAATCTCAGGAATCAGTAAGGCCTAGACAAATAGAATTAAAAGAGGGGCAGAGTCAGGAAGGTACAGGTCCTTCTAGGAAGAGTTTTCCATCTTAAAAAACCAGTGAAGAATCTGTATCTAAATTAAATTGGTCTAGAGGCAGCAGGAATCCAGTAGGTACCTCTGTGAGCAGCCACTCTTCCCAGTGGCCAGGAGCCATTTATGTAGCAGAGTGAAGCAAGATGCCGTTCTCTCTCTCCTTGGAAAGATGAAGTATCACCTCATTATTAAAACTAAGTTCCATGATTCCTAAGGGATCACTTCCTTATTTTTTCACATGCCATTAAAAAGAATCATAAGCATTCGAGAGAGAGGTGTGCATGTGAAGCATCCTGGTTCTAAAGTTAGGAGAACAGATGATGTCACATCTTTGGCCTTGGAGCCCTTTCTGCAAACAAGACCCAGTGTCTTCTATCCAGTGCTTTTTAGCATTCAAATCAAGTAACATGTGCCCCCTTCATGAATGCGTATTCCTCTACCTTTGCCAATATTCTTCTCCCGGCTTAGTTGCAGGATGCTTTCCTTTCATCATGAGGTTATGATCCAAAGTGTGCATCATTTTATTTAATGTTACTTGAGGAATTAGATCCAATGCTCCCCTCACCAACCAAAAAATAAAATGAAAGATTGCTTCATTACAGGGTTTGGGCTAATATGTGTTTCTATAAAAGCAATCTGGTTTTTTTTGGGGGGGCGGAGAACATAGTTTAAAGGATCCAATTATCTAAGATATGTTATGCCTAGTTAGAAGTTTCACAATAATGATTATGCATATACTTAAAATATAAAATACCCAGCTGCTGTTTGAACTTTGTCTTACTTTCCTGACCTCGTGTTTGTCCCATCCTAAAAGCTAGGTGTTAACTAATTTAGCAAAAGATGCCTAGCTTTTATAAAAGAACAAACATTACATTTTATAAAGACACTCCAAAGGATGGTTACTTGTTTTTCTCAAGACCTTTAACTGTGGTGACAAAATAGCAGGACTTGCTTTCAAGCCTTAATAAATATAAATTGCCTTTTAATGAAGATATTGCTGAATGTTTTCTTCATGAATCTGAACGAGTAATAAATTGGTTTTCCAGTCTTGATTGGTATTGACTGATTCAAATAAAGTTGGTTTATTTTCAGCTATTACAAAAGCAATCATCAGACTGCTTATTTGAGGTGAGGATCTCCTATGCTGTTTTAAATGACAAGTGTGAACTACCTTTTTTTTTTTTTTCCAAATAAAAGTTACTCTGTTTTCCCATTATAAAAGAGAATATGTTCATTGTTCTTAAAAATCAAAAGCAAGTAAAAAGAAAAAGAGGAAGAAGAAAAGGAAAAGCAAGAAGCTTGTGACCTAGTCATCCAAAAATCCATTTTATTTTGGCAGGGCTGAATCCTATTATAAAACATGGGCTGGGTAAAAAAAAAAAAAAAAACACTGATGTTCATTCATGGTTCTCACTTTCCTATCTATATCATTATACCTGGGGGTAAGTCAATAGTGACTGTCTAGGTATGATTTAAGGAGTATTTTAAAATACTGGTCTACTTGCCCCCAAAGCTCTCTCTTTGCCCACAGTGGCCTGGCCCTATCAGTGTTCCTGGCCTAAATTCCCACCCCTAGAACATCACTGACTCTAGATTAAGGTCTCCAAAGTTTTCACAAGTTTTACCTGAAGCCAACATTGACACCCGATGAAGCCGTCTATGAGCATTCACAGATCCCTAGGTCCTCCCAGCTCTGTCGGAACAGCCTCTCCTCACCTTAGAAAGGATGAAACACCTGATTCAGGGAACAAGTCCTGGCAGGAGAGGTGGCCTGTAGCTCAGAGCTGGTGCGGCAGATGCTGTCAATGGTTTCCCTCCATCATGACCACACCTGTGTTCCTCTGGCAGAGCTCTGATTGGGTCAGAGGTCTTCCTCTCCACCCCTTTCTAGTCCCCACCCTCACAGGACCCAGTTCCAGGGGGTGAAGCATGAATGGTCTGAGCCTGTCCTCCTGGCTGTAGTTGGTTTCAGAGTGGGTTCTTGACCACGTTCCACCCAGTATTGGGAGAAGAGATTTGTTTAGGAACTTCTGAGAAAGATCTTCTTCTTCTGAAGTGACTCCTTAAGTCCCTGCCTCCGGATGTGGGTTTGAGGCCTGGAAATACTGCCCCCCACTGGAGACCACGAGGAGGGGCAAGCGTCAGGCAATGCACTGCAAAAGGTGCCAAGAATGGAAAGAGTCCACCACCTGATGGGACCACCGAGCTGCGGAATCAGCCCACTGTATTCCTGGCTCTAACTGTGCATTTCCTGTTCCATAATATATCCTGGGTTGTTGGAGGGGGTTTGTTTGTTTGTTATTATGAGCAGCCGAAGGTATTCAAGTGGTGGACGAGCCAAGTTTGTTGTCATTATTGCTGTTGTTGTTTTTAATAGCTGGTTTGGTCATCAGATTGCTCAGGCAAGACGTGTTCCATGTTTCCCTTGTTGGCTCTGCAGGCTGACCAACGGCTGGGGACACGGGAGACCTCATCTCTCTGCAGCTGTGCTGTAATGAAACCAAGGGGTGCGCGGGTGGCCGTGCTGGCGTCTGGCATTGAGAACGGAGTCCTGTTCCAGAAAACCTGCCAAGAATTGAACTCCGAAACAAGAGCGTCTCATTATACTTACAAGTGTTGTGAGCTGTGTCTCTTTCATTTTTATGTCTAGTAGCTAAGATCCCCAGAATCCCCAGTAAGTTTTACCTCGTGGGAAAACACCTGGGGTATCAGACGTGGGGAAGCTCAGGGTTGAAAACAGGAGATTGGACTTCTAATCCTAAATCCGTCACTATGTTACTGTATGAACTTGAGTAAAGCCCCTTTCTGGGCCATTTCTCCAACAAGGTTAGTTACTAAGACCCCTTGTCTGGGATAATGAGTTCCCTGATAAAGAGTACTTACAGATGGGGCGCCTGGGTGGCTCAGTCGGTTAAGCAGCTGCCTTCAGCTCAGGTCATGATCCCAGAGTCGTGGGATCGAGCCCCACGTCCACCTACCTGCTTAGTGGAGAGCCTGCTTCTCCCTCTCCCTCTGCCTGCCGCTCTGCCTACTTGTGCTCTCTCTCTATCAAATAAATAAATAAAATCTTTAAAGAAAAAAAGCGCACTTATAAGTAATAAAGTGTTTTATAAAGGGAAATGACATTTCAGCCAATTGGAACCATCAATCTACTGGAAGGTCTCACTGTGGTCCTCCTTAATGGAAAGAAGCTGAAAATACATAGGTATTAGGAACTGGTGGGCTTGTTTTTTTCTTTCTTCTTTTAAAGTAAACTTCAGTCGATCTTGGAATCAATTCACATCTTTTTTCCTATCTTTTTAGTCTCTATTCAATGAAATCAACATCTATGTGCAATGAAAACGACCTTGGGGCTCTGCAAGTAGGCTCATTAAGCTGCAGTTATAAACTGCAGAAAATAAAGCAGATCAAATTTTGGAAAAGTTGTCAATAAGAAGTATGGAAATTAAAAAAAAGTTGGAGTTTAACCTCCCTTTAACTAGGATATCTCGATGCCCCAAACTTCTTATCTGTAAACGTATATAGGACTCAGAGTCTAGACCACACAAGATCCAGGATACAAATACTGTAACGGAGGCCAGCATAGCATCCACCTGTGGAGCCGTGCTTGGTTGCATGCCATTTTGTGTGTCCAGAATTGTGCCTGTGTGTTAGTCACTTTCTTTCCCCAATTAAAAACCAAGCTCCTTTAAGGGATGGAGTGTAGATTATCCAATTTGTGTACCACACCTCACCTTGTCTAGCACTCAGCAAATATTATGTGCTGAAAAATAGTTATTAGTGGTTGACTGGAGAGATCACGAGACAGTATTCTAGGCTTCTGGGTTCACCTCGTATCTCACTATTCATGTCCCTGCAGTCCCAGGCTCCCACTGCACCAGAATTCTGGAAATGGAGTGATAATAGTGAGTCAAGGAAAGAAATAGGCATCTGTGTCAGTTAAAAACGCTTCTAATAGACTTCTGAACAATGGGTCCTTCTAAACAGTCTACACAGCATTTCATTGTCTGTCTGAAAGGATGAAAAGCTGCCTGATGCTTACTGGACTGCACGGTTGTGATTAGGTCATGATTTAGCCAGGTTCCCAAGTTGGCCACAAAATTCTGTGTAGATTGGGTGTTCTATTTAGAAATGGTCTAGAAGCTTTGAGGTGAGGATGACTCTGGATACTATCGTTCTGGATACTATCTGGCTAAATATTAGTTAAACAAATACATCTTTTTTCCTGCATATATGTTCACTAGAGAAAATTTAGAAAATGCGAAGAAGTGAAAGAGAAGAAATGAAAGAGCACCTGTAATCCTTCCATGCAGAGATAAGCACCTTTAATGTGTAAATAATTATCTTCCCAGACTTTTTCTAGTGAGATAGAAATGTCAACATGAATAATTTCTTTAACAAAAAGAAAGCTGCTATTGAGAACCGAAACCAATAAACTTTTCTGTCTCGATGATAAACAGGTATAGCCAAAGCACTTTTTCCTGTTGCTCTGCCACATAATACTGGGACTAGATACAAATAGTAACAAACTTGCTACTTGCTTACTTACTAGGACCAGCAGCTTGCTCAACAATATTTGCTTCAGGACCTTACCTTGCTATGCCCATCAATCCAAAATTTTATGTCCAAAAGTGCCCAATCCCAACCAGTTCCCTGCCTGGTGAGACCACCCCCTTATTATCACTGGACTCTGGCTCTAAAACCCTGTAAATATCCTCTCCTGACTCCCTTCTTCTGAAATATTACTAAGACTCTATCAAAGAGATGTTCTTTTTTATTGAAATCAATCTAATAAATGTAGCTTTTTAAACCAAGTTTTTCTGGTGATTTTTTCTCGGTTTTTTTTTTTTTTTGGCAATTGTCAACTAACACTCTGCATACTATTTTTCAATTTTGTTTTTTTTACTCATAGATCATGAACATCTTTCCATGTCCCTTTTCATCTCCTACATCATTCCTATGTATCATATTTCCATTAAACCAGCTGCCTATTATTTGGTCTTTAGGCTATTTCTAAGTTTTTACTCATAATTAATATTATAATGAAGTTCTAATAAGCTAGATTCTTCATTACCTCTATTTTCCCCCTCTAGAGGTGAAATTGCTAGATTAAAAGGCATGCGTATTTTAAGGCACCTAATATATATTACTAAATTTACCTCCAGATTGTTCCAAAATCACTCTCTTCTCAGAAGAATGCGAATACTTATTTTCTTACATCATTGCCAGTATCGGGTTTCCTCATTTTTCATTTCTTCCCAATTTGAGAAGTGAAATATTCCTGATGGTTACCTATTTATCCACTTGTTGAGGATCTCTCCTAAGTGCACAATTCCACCGTCTTTACTGTCTTTAGGTTTTTTGTCTCAGAAGGGAGTGGGCTGGTTTCCTCCTCTGCAATTTAGCTACTACATCTTCATGAAGCTGCCACATCATTGAATGAGTTGAGTATACACTGGTTCTTGTGGTAGCTGTTGCTCTCTTTTGGACTCCTTGGTGGAAATATATATAT